ACGCCGCCGCCAGCCCCGCCCCCTCCACGCCGCCGCCTCCGGCACCGCCGCCGCCTGCCCCTCCGCCGCCCTCGCCGCCGCCGCCTTCGCTGTCGCCCTCGCCGCCTCCCACGCCGCCGCCTCCGGCACCGCCGCCGCCTGCCCCTCCGCCGCCCTCGCCGCCGCCGCCGTCGCTGTCGCCCTCACCGCCCCCAATTCCTCCGCCCTCCACGCCGCCGCCAGCCCCGCCGCCGCCCACGCCGCCGCCTCCGGCACCGCCGCCGCCTGCCCCTCCGCCGCCCTCGCAGCCGCCGCCGTCGCTGTCGCCCTCGACGGCGTCACCGACCGCCAGCCCCACAGCCTCGCCGACGGCATCACCTACCTGGATCACAGCCTCGCCGACGGCGTCACCGACCGCCAGCCCCACAGCCTCGCCGACGGTGTCACCTACCTGGATCACAGCCTCGCCGACGGCGTCACCGACCGCCAGCTCCACAGCCTCGCCGACGGTGTCACCTACCAGCACCCCCAGCTCAGCCCCGTCCTCGGCGCTCTACCGTTCGGTCAGAGTTGCCACCGGGACTCTGTGACCATCGAGTGTCTTCCCGTAGGCTCCGACGTCTGTTCCCACGCTTGCGCCGTCCGCGTCGCCGAGCTCCTCACCCTCCGCGTCGCCAAGCGTCAGTCCCTCTTCAGCGCCAAGCAGCTCTCCCAGCGCCTCCCCCTCTTCGGCGCTCTGCCGCCAGGTGGAAGCTGCCGAGAGGACTGTCCCTGACCGCCGGTTCTCTTCCCGTAGGCTCCGACGTCAGTTCATTCTTCCTCGCCGACTAGCTCGCCCTCCTCGTCACCGACCGCCAGCCCCACAGCCTCGCCGACGGCATCACCTACCTGGATCACAGCCTCGCCGACGGCGTCACCGACCGCCAGCCCCACAGCCTCGCCGAGGGTGTCACCTACCAGCACCCCCAGCTCAGCCCCGTCCTCGGCGCTCTACCGTTCGGTCAGAGCTGCCACCGGGACTCTGTGACCATCGAGTGTCTTCCCGTAGGCTCCGACGTCTGTTCCCACGCTTGCGCCGTCCGCGTCGCCGAGCTCCTCACCCTCCGCGTGGAACGAGGGGTCGCGCCGCCGCTCCCTGCTCCTGAAGTGAAGTGCTCGGTGCGTCCATTTGTTCACTACTGCTGCTGCTGCCCTGCTAGTATGCTGTAACCGCGCGTCTTGGCCGACAACAACGCGCCTGTCCCATATGTTCTGTGTAGTGACTAGTGTGTTGAATGTTCGATATTTCTTTGTGCATTATATTCGTCCTCTAGCGCGATATGATTCCACATTGGTGGATGGTGCATTTTTCACAGAATGTGTGTGTCGATCGCGGTGGTGTGAGGTGGGCCCCGCGAAAGGATGGAGATTTATTACGCCCGGAGGGTTCAACCAAAGAAGAGGTCCCTCGGGGCGCCCCAACATCACAGCCCGCGGCGCCTAGAACTGCCAGTGAATCCACCCCCACAGACCACAACGACAGTCATCAGCGTCGGTCGCTCGCACGCAGATCGATGGCACGCATCATCTTTGCCTGCACATCCAATTACGTGATCATCATACGCACCGATTGTTCATCGCGGCGCCCGCACCAACTCGCCATGCAGCTGCAGCAGCAGTTCGTTCAAGTCGGCCTTCAGCGAAATCAACCGTTGCTGGATCCTGCCCAGGTCCGTGTAAGCCATCGGATCTGTGCTGCTGCTGCCGCTGCGCTTCTCGGCCCGCGCGGTCAGCAGCTCGTTGAGCGCCGTGGCGTGCGCCGCCACGGCGCCCCGGCGGTACTCACTCATTGGATCGTCTGTGCGTCCGCGCACCCGGCCGGTGAGGGACAGCCAGTCGACGACACGCAGCCAGCGCTCCAGGCGCGTCGCTTCCTGCACGGCACGAATGGACTCCACGATCTCACTGTCCGTGTCCTCGGGCGTTTCGGACGGGACGGCGACCGCGTCCCAAGCCTGGCGCGTCTGCTCCAAGGTCGCGAGTAGCTCGGGATCGGCTATGTTCAGACTCGCTGCGAGGAAGGTCGCGGCGACATGGGTCCTCGTCTGCTCGCGCCCTGCGTCCTGCTGCCGCCTTAGCTCCTCCTCAAAGGGACCTGCGAGCATCTGTAAGTTCGCATCCTCCGTGAGTCCAATCCGCGTCAGCGCGAAGAGCAGGCACTCCAGGCGCGTCTGTGGTGGCGGCAGCAGGTTGAGCGCCTCATTCGCATTCGGCCGGTGCTGCATTCGCTCGAGCCGGCGCTGCTCAGCCTCGTCCGGCTGATAGTGTGCGAGCGCGGCAATGTTCGCCGCCGCTGTGGCCGCGGCCGCCTCGTTGTGCTGGGCGGCGGCGGCCTGGAAAGCGCCGACGTCGATGCTGCCCTGTGGGCAGACCCCATGGGTCTGCACCACCTCACAGTCGGTGCGTAAGCAAATGTAGCAAAAGCGGACGTGGCAGCTCGGGCAGGACGAGGAGTTGCAGCCGCCCGACATCCTGACCTCTTGGAAGCAGCCGGGGCACAGCTTGTGGCTGATCGAAGCATGATCCGCCGCAGCATTGGCAGGTGGCGCTTCTGCACCAGGTCCGGCCGCCTCTTCACTAACCGCCGCTTGTGGCCCTTCTCCTGCCGCGCCCGGGTCCACCGCGCCCGGGTCCACCGCCTCTTCTGGCTGTGCAGGCTCTACGGTTGGCGCGTCCGCCGGCGCGACTGGCGCTGGAGCGACGAGTGGAGGGATCTGCGGCGCTTCCTCGATGCCGCGAGCGAGAGCCTCATACACATTGGTCGCGAGCTGCAGCAAGCCACCGCCGTCGTCATGCACGCCCACCAGTGCAGCCGCGTGCGCCACCGTCGTCTCGTTGTCCCCGTCGGGCACGTCGATCGCCTCACGGATGAAGCCGAGCATCTCGAGGAGGGACGGCGCGGCAGGTAGAGGCGGCGGGGGCAGAGGCGACGGCGCGTCACCTCCCTGAGCAGCACCAGCCGCCACGGCATCTGGCACGACGGCAGCAGCCGCGGCAGCGTCTTGCCCTGCCGCCGCCGCAGCTGCCTGCTCCATTCTCTGCACCTCCTCCGCCACTCGATCCACCAGTCCCAAGGCCTCGAGCGTGCGCCGGACTATCGGCGGTAACGCCACTAGGAAGTCCTGTACAGTCATCTGTTGCAGCCGAGGCCATAGCTGAGCGCGGTCGAGTTGGTCCAGCGGCTGATCAGGAGGAGTGTCCTGCGGCCGCATTGGTCCGACCCTCTCGCTCCCGAGCAGCCGCTCCCACGCCCTCGGCAGCGCCGGGCCGGGCAATGGTCGGCGAATAAAGTCGGCGACCCTCTCGTGGCGCCCGAGCCCGTTGGCGAGCCCTTCGTCCAAGACGTCACCCAGCACATCGTGGATCAGCCTCTCCTCGTGCCAGAGCCGGACCTGTACGTCCTCAGGGAGCAACGCCGGCAGCAGGCCTCCGGTCAGCTGTACCGTGAGCATCTTGAGATCGGCGATGGCGATGCAGTTCGGCCCGCCGATGGCGATGTCGGCATCGTAGCGCTGCATCGCCGTATGCATCAGCTCGATGTAGCTGCACTGCCATTGGAAGGCGTACTTGCATGGCACGGGGAAGTGCGCCTCGCGACCGCATGCATAGCAATAATGCATCCCACACTCGCACCGTAGGTTGACCTGCCCAGTCGCAGGCCGGTTTAACTTGCCGCAGCCTTCCGCCGGGCACTTGCGGTATGGTGTCGATTCATGCTCGAGCGCGAGTTCGTCCTGGCCCGCAAGCAGCGCCTGGTCCGCTTCGTCCAGAGGCAGGTGTGCAGTGTCCACGTCCAGCACGCCAACGCAGTCACGCGGCTGGCCATCGCAGTCGACGCTGCCGCCGATTTGTTGGCACGTGTACGGTGGGCGGAGCAGCGCGCCGCCATCGCTCGGATGCAGTGTCGACTGCAAGAAGCTGGCGAGGCACTCGGCGCACACGGTGTGTTTACATGAGAGTTGGAACACCACCTCGTTCTCCTCGCACTGACCGCAGACGAGACAAATCACCGGGGCAGTCGGTCAAACCAGGCCTCGGATTCGCTGAGTTCGAATGAAAAGTTGGACGCCGTCGAGTCGCCGTGCGAAGGCGGCGGCGGAGAGAGTGGTCGCTTTCTGTCCGCCATCTTGTGGAGTCTGCGGACGGCTTTGTTGTTATGATGGAGGGCCGGCCAGGCCAGCCAGGGCAAGGGCGGAGGGCGAGAGCGGAGGGCGGAGTGGGTGCCAAGGGGACGGGCGGAGAACGCTAGCTATGGGACGGCGGGAGGCGGCGGATTGGAATAGGGCGGAGGCAAGGTGCGGTGAAGGATACTCGAGTAGGGTGGCGGCGGGAGGGGCAGCGGAGGCGGGAATGGCGATGGGAGTGGGGGGAGGCGGGAGGGCGAGCGAGGGCGGCGGCGATGGCAGTGGCATCAAGGCGGAGGGCGGCGGCGGCGTGAGCGGCGGCGGCGGCGGCGTGGGGCGAGGTGGAGGGCGGCGGCGGCGTGGGCGAGAGCAAGATATCGCCCGACAGACAGCCTCATCGGCGGCAATTGGCTGGGCCAACGGTACGAACCTGTGCCGCGCAGCCGTGTCGGCTGACTGGCGCGCGACTGGGCCAACTAGTCATGGTCGTCGCTTCCCTGGCCGGTCTCCGAGTCCTGCTCCTCGCCCGAGTCCTCGTCCAAGTTCGAGTAGTCTTCCTCCTCTTCGTCCTCTTCGTCGATCTCGTGGAGCCGGCTCCTGGCCCGACGCCCGTGACGCTGGGGCCGACTTGTGCTACGCGCGCTGCGACCCGGACCGCCACCTCTGCTGCCGCCTGTGCTACCCGTAGTCCTTGCCGGCGAGCGAGTGCCTTTTGCGGGGCTGTCGCCAGAGCGGGTGTCGCCACGGCCGTCTTCTGATCTGTTTTGTGGTCTGCGCGCTGCGGCCGCTGCGCTGCGCGTCTCGAGGCGCGCCGCAACACAGCCCGTGTAAATGGGGTAATGGATGAAGCATCCCCGATGGCCGGGGGGGTGTCCCATGGCCCCGGGGTGGCCGGGGGCACGCAGGGAGCGCCGCTACGGGCCGCTGCGGCGCCCATTTCGAAGAATGCCATCCTGGAATATAGGGTCTAGGTCTGAGACCGTCGCGCGACGCAAGCCACGCGCTCCTACCACGTGCCAGACCGTCGAGCAGGCTGTGCTGCAGGCTGTGGCCGGGCGACGGAGACGGCAGAGACGGTGGCGACGAGAGTTGCACGCAAGTTGGGCGGCACGGCACGGCACGGCACGGCACGGCGGCGCGGCGGCGGCGGCGGCGGCGGCGGCAGTGAGGGCTGGCTGATAAATGCTAGATCTGGCGAATGCACGCCACGCCCACGGCGCAGTAGTGGGGAGATGGGTAGGGCTTACCTCGTCGGGGCCTCAGGCTCAGCGCGCCACGTGTTTGGTTCAATCGGTGGGAACGCAGAACGGAATTTTACCCTACGCACAGATAATCAGATTAACTAAGAAGAACTTCCGCACGCCGAGCCCAGTGTCGTGCGAAAGACGCACCTTCCTTCCCGTGAAATCCCCGTGGTGGCGGCGTGCCGTCCTCCCATCCGCATCCCTCCTTTGGGTTGTATGTTTTCACGTTCCGTTTCGCGGCTTTTTTTTCGTGCGAAAAAGACACGAGAAACATGGCGCCGGGCAAACTTTACTGATACTATACACGACGCACCTCGCGACACGCACAAGGCCGACGGGCAACGAGAGAGCCGTACTATATGCATATTTACTCAGTCGCCTAACTCTTTACCGACACATGGTGTCGACGACGACGCGTGGGGTACTCTATCGCGCACCGCAGACGGAGACGCGCCTCGCGCGAGAGGCGAGTCGCGTGCACGAGTCACACAACACTGACGCGAAGAATCACGATGGGCACGGCACCAGTGCGCCACTGACAAATCCCCAAAGCACTCGCGCGGTCAGCGCAAGGGAAGAGGACACGGATCTCCAACGACGTAACACATGGAGAGGGAAGATGACAGACATGGACAGAAGTGTGCAGGTGTACAGGTGGCCCGCGTGTGTATCGCACGCGGGGTGGGCGGGCGCGACAGCGGCGGCTTCACGTGAGCAGCTCGGCGATGGAGGAGCTCATGTGCCGGCGCACGTGCTCGCCGCGCCCCTTTGCCTCCTCGCGCTGGTCGCGCAGCAGCTTGACGCCGCTCTGCATGATGACGTGCTCGACGTACGCCTCGCGCCACGAAGCGAGGCAGCTCCGCCGCCCCTGCGTCAGCTTGAGGTGCGCCCAGCAAAGATGCTCCCACAGCAGGGCGGAGCCGCTCAGCCGGCGGAAGCGATGTGAAGCCTCGAACAGCGACAACACAGAGCGAAGCGGCAAGTGCTTCATGATCTCAATCACAACGTCGTCGGGGCTGTTCAGGAGGCACCACGGGACCTCCTCGGCCTGCGTGCCATCCTCCTCCGTCGCCCGCGCGGGCAGAGAGGCGGGAGCTGCCCCTCTGTAGGTGGGGCGCGCGCCTCCCGCCTCCGTGCGCGGTTCGCTCGGCGCGTCCAGCGATGCGCTGCTCGGCGCGTCCAGCGGGCCGACGGGTAGGCCCTCGAGCGCGCGGGGAAAGTCCACCGGCCGCAGCCCCGCGTTGTTAGCGCTCCACGGGTCGAGCCCTCGCTTCACCAGTTCGGCGGCCAGGGCCCGCCGGTCGTATCGGAATGCGTGGTGGAGAAGGGTGTTTCCGTCGCTGTCGGTTGCCCAGAGCGCTGATGGGGTGGCGTCCAACAGACGCAGAAGAAGGGCTTCACCGCCGTCGCGTGCGGCAAGAGAGTGTGCGAGCATCGGCAGTAACAAGACGGAAGTCCGTGCGGCAGGCTCGGGCTTAGGTCGATATCCTCAGATCTTCACACGACTTAGGACGCTCCCCACCCATCCAACTCGCCGAGTGCCGAGGTGCTGCAGAACCGCGCGATCTCGGGCGATCTCGCGCTATCTCGGAGCTCCACGCCACGCCGCTCCACCCACTCGCCTACCGCCCGCGCGTACGCCACCGCCGCCTCCACCGCCGTGTCGAAGGAGCCGATGTAGACCCGCAACTTGCCCACATAGTGCACCGCCTGGAAGCGCTTGGTGACGCCGGAGACCTTGGTGACGCCCTTGTAGCCGGTGCTGCTGCTGCTCGAGAGGTGCAGCCGCAGCCCCTCCGCCTCCGCCGCCACCGCAGCCACCTGTCGCGAGGAGCCCGCACAGCGGTCGCCCCCGCGCGGCCTCGAGCTTCGCCCCGCCTCAGGCAGCTGCAGGTGCGACGAGAAGATGGCTCGCCAGCGGGCGAGAGCAGCGTGCTCGGGGCTTATGTACTTGCGACCGCTGATGCTGCAGCCGCGCACCTCGTAGAACGGCGTGCCGTCCACGTACTCGCCGCGGCCGACGCCCTTGTAGCCCGTCTTCGTGTAGAACGACAGGATCAAGGCCGCCCCCTCCGCCCCCGCGAGCCGCACCGCCTCGAGCCCCACGCCGGACGGCTGCGGCGGCCAGACCGCCGCCCTCGGCGGGACTACCATCACCGCCTGCGGCGGCTCTCCCAGCGGCGGCGCCGGCGCCGGGCGCGGCGCGAGCTCCGGGGCCGGGAGCGCCGACGGCCCGGCCCCGACGCCGTTGCCCGCCAGCCTCTTGGGCGGCGGCTGCTCCTCCTCCTCCGGCCCGCGGCTCCGCTTCCTTGCCGTCAACCATGTCCATGCCCCGACTACCGCAGAGCGCGCCTTGCCGAGTGGCCCCGGCGGGCCGCCCTCGCCCGCCGAGCATCCCCCAGCCCCGCCCCCCGGCGACGGAGGTACGGCCGAGGCAGCGCCCCCCGCCAAGCCGCCGCCGCCGCATGGCGCGCGCGCTGCAGCGGCCGGCCGCGCTCGTGCGGCCGGCGCCGGCTCGCCCGCGCCCGCGCCCGCGCCCGGCGGCGACCCCGCCTCGTCTCCCACCGCCGTCTCCGCCTCTCCCCCCGGTGCCGGAGGAGAGGCGCCCGAGGCGTCGGCGGGTGCCGGAGGAGAGGCGCCCGAGGCGTCGGCGGGGGCTGGCGAGCAGCCGCCGCCGCCGCCGCATGGCGCGCTCGCTGCGGCGGCCGGCGCTGGTGCGGCCGGCGCTGGCTCGCCCGCGCCCGCGCCCGGCGGCGACGCCGCCTCTTCTCCCGCCTGGCGAGTGGATGGATCGATGTTAGGTTTGTGAGTTAGGTGCACGCTCTTCGTGGGCGAGCGGTGCGCACCTGCACGGTCGCGGCGTGCAGCGGTGCCGGCAGTGGGTACGGTCGAAGAGCTGATCGCAGGCAAAATCGATTGCACTGTCCGCACGGCGACGCCATGACGGTCTCTGCGTCGCCCGGCTGGGGTCGGCGCGCCGCCCGCGAATGGCGGCCCGCTGCCTCGTTGCGGGGACTGAACGGATGGTTGGCTGCCCGCACACGGACGAAGGTGTCAAAGCAGCGCCCGCAGATGACGGTGTCCGCGGAAGGTTGGCACGACGGGCAAACGTACTCGGCTGGCTCCGGGCAAACCCACCACTCCATGCCGACGGTTGCCAACTCCCCCCGGGGGGGGGGGGGGGGGGGCCCCCCCCGGGCCGGGCCGAAACGAAAAGAATAACGAAAAGAATTCTTACAAGAAAGCCTCTCTCACAGCACACTGGCACGAAAAGAAGGTTCGCCCCCAGGGCCTCCAGGGCTCGCACCTCAACCTCTCACAGACCAGCGCACAGCGCCATAGGAGGTATTTTCTTCTCAATAACAAGGCTGTGAACTTCGGTGGTTATCACTCCTGCAGGCATTGAGACAGAGAGTGTGTTGTTTTGTTGGCATTGAAGAGGGGATCAACAATCACAAGAAAGGAATCGAGGGTGGCTGCGCGTCACCCGGCGGCAGCGCCTCCTCGAGTCCACGCCACGCGGCGGTGCTCGCGTTCGAGAGGACCTGCGAGCCGGAGCCGCGTGAGTGCGTCTCTAGGAGGGGAACAGTGCGGTGGGAGGGCGGCCGGCCTCGACAATGCCGTCCACGCGGACGTCGATCTGCACCAGCCTCGGCGTCGGCGAACTGCTCTCTGCGCTCGTGAGGCGTACGTGCGGCGCCTCTGACGCCGCGGGCCCGG